CGGAGCAACCGTCAAAGTTTTTATTCAGGCCACCAAGGGAAGATGCCTTTGAAAAATGAAAGGACAAAGAGCTGGGGTGGGACTTCTGGGGACAGGGGGGCGAGACCGCTGGGGTGGCTGGGTCCAGTTTGCTGTAGATTAGGTGCCCTGATGGATCCCCACCACATTCTTTCAACTGCTTCCCGGGGGTGCTGACCAGGAGCTTTCTGCTCCAAGAGGGAAGACCGTAAGGACCTTCGGTTAGCCTGGTAAACAGGAGCGTGTACAGCATCCCAAGCTCTTGCAGCATTTAGTGATTTCCTGACCGTTTCTTTGTAAACGTTTCCTGTGTCTACTCCAGGCTCAGACCAACTTGAACACAAACATTTCTGAACCCTCTTTGCCAGAAGTATAAGAATTATCGGGCTATGCTTACACAAAAACTTTTGGATAGGTTACACTTGAATAAATGTGACCTATGCACAGCAAAACGCCTGGCCGCTTTCCTGCTGTTATTTTGGGATCAGAAAGCTTAAACAGTGGGATCAGGAGATTGTGGAGGATGCCGAAGCTGCTGACAGCTTATTTGTTTTTTCTGCTTCATTCATTGCCGCTGATCAAAGTATTACTCGGAAAGAAAAAACAACCAAAACGTATTTTCAGTAAGCCTGGTAATCTTCCTTGTGCTTCGAGGAAAATCCAAAGCCTGAGGGAAAGAACTGTCCTTTAAAGGAAGCTCAGCCCTTCCTCTGGAGCTGGTGGAAGAACTTCACGGCAGTACGGCGGTGGTGCCACTTCACCAGCGCGTTTGGGAGCAGGCGTTGGTGGAGTTTCGGTGGAAAGGCACAGCAGGGAGAGTGAACTCATTGGCAACCAACAGTCTTGGAGAATAAACCTTAGCTGAAGATGTGAGGGCGCCTGAAGGCAGCATCCTCGAGGCTCAGTTTACGAATAGGTGACAATGGGAAAACCAGCCACGTGTTCAGAAATGGGTTTCTGGTTTTTGCAGACCTGCTGAGGCTTCCTGCTGCGCTGCCTTGTGCCAGCAGGTTTCTGCACTGAGACAAGGCTCTTCTTTCATTCCAAGTTCCTCGGAGCTTTACTCAGAGTTTTTTCAAGGCAGGAGCAGGCTGTGCAGAACTGTGCAGCATTTGTCTCTTTGGGTCCCCTAAATTTCAACAAATAAATGCTAACAATAACAGTCTGCTTGAACTTGAGGCATTTGTATGGCCACCTTCATTCACAAGGGTGCAAAAAGTCAGCTTTGTTCAGCTTGTGACTTTTTCTAGATGACAGCTGATGTTGACAGAAATTGTTGTTATTCTCCAGCTATGATCTTTCTTTAGGTTCGATGGCAGTGGTCCAGCATGTCAAGACAATGGAAAATTAGGAGGGGTTTATGTTCTACAGGGTAACAGAAGAAATATTTTGGAGTATTTGTTGTAAAATCTTTAGTGTTCCCTGCATACAAGTTGAAGATATTCTGTCAGTATGTATTAAAATTAGACTATCAAAAAGCCCGTTTTTCTACTGAAGTTGCTACCTGTTGGGTTTTTTTTCTAAGTTTATGAAAGTTCTTACTAGAACCAGTTCAGTCAAACAGTACCATGAAATCTGTCTAAATCCTACTCTGAGTGTTCAACTGAGGGAAGTTCTTCTTTGTTCCTTCTTCAGCTGTTGAAAATATTATTGAGGCTTAAAATTCTTATTTCCTTTATTTCCAAGTAGAAGGTGGTAACAATGCTTTTCCTGTTAACAGGCTGTTGGCAAAATCATAGTAATCATGACTGTGTCACATAAATTAGCTAATGTGCCTCTATTTTTTATTTCCCCCCACCATCAGTGTTTGCATTTTCCTTTCCAGGGCCATAAAATGATTTGCGTTTTTAAGTCTGAATTTAATTGCCCAGTCATCTGCTGTTAATGTGGTAAATTCCTCTAACAGGAACTAATTTTGCTTAGTTCCAAGGAATCTGCAAAGTCAGTCCTGCAAAGCTGCGTGATCTGTTCAATGCTTTGTTCAGTTCTCTGCTTAGCATCAATGTTTTCTTAATTGTAGGTTTATTTTTGGCAAAAATAAGCTCTTCTGTTTTTAAGTCCAACCCTGAATGTGTTGCTAAGCGTTGGCAATTGCTACAAAATCCCATTTTTGTGGGGATTCTTCCAACCCGTTTATGTTATTAGTCTTAACATCTTAATTAAGGGTTTGTGAGTATAATAGAACTTGTTGGGAGCTAATTGAGATATTTTCCACCCTTGCCTGGGAGTGGGAATATTTGTGCAACCGAAAGTGAAGGCTCTGCATAGAGGGTTGTCTATTTTTAATGTTTGCCTGAAAAAAAAAAAAAAGTTGGAGCGAACAGAGAGTTCACTCATAAAATATTTGAGGGATTCGAGGCTCTGGGACTGCTGGGAGGTTCAGTGTGTTGTGGAAGTGATGTGGACAGTCCTGGAAGGAAAGTTTGACATCATTTCCCCAGTGATATCTAGCTACTGGCTGCTTTCCAGCATATTTTAGCAGGCAGAGGCACAAGGCTTTTTTTTTTTCCTTATTTTTTCCAGGACTGCTTTTTATTTGGGGAGAAAAAAAAAAAAAGTCCTTTAAATTACAGACAGAATTAGTGAAAATGGAAGGAGTAAAAGCTTAAAAATAGGCTTGAAGCTTATGAAATGCTTCCTGCTGTCTGTTTACACATAATTTCAGAAAATTAAATAACTGCAGTAATTCAGACCCAGCAAAGGGGGGGTCACTGTGCAGATTTAAGGTGTCGAGCTCAGATCAGGGTCCTGCTGTGGTTGCACTGCTCTTCTCCACCCTCGCTGGAAAGCTTTAAATCATTTGAGCATCATTTCTTTTGCCTTTCAAATGTTGGCGTATCATCACGGGGAGGGATCATTTAGCTGGGTCTCTTGATTCTTGCTCTGTCAAACTTGCTGTTTAAAGCACGTGTCTATTTTTTTCTATTTTAAGTCCTAGTAGCATGAGAGCTGGGAATGTGGAGGAGAAAATAAGTAACCAACTGAAGAAAATAAACAATCAGTTGGCAAATCTCACAACTATTACGTGGCAAAGCGTCTTTTTCCCTTTCCTCTTCTCCCATGGTGAATGTCTCACGCTATAAAACTTACCAGTCTTCCATAATATTTTTGTGGTGTTACCAAAATCAATGCATTGAGCTCCTACTGTGGGGGCACTTGTTTTTCATCTCTTGTAATAATGTCTAATTTTTCCTTTCCCACCCTAATTTTCCAGTGCTGCTTATAGAACTAGTGTGTAAATTAGCTGGTTGTAGTTACGGGCTTCGGGTGCCTGCAGCATACATCACATGCTGCTAAAATGTGTTTCAGATGGAGGAAAAGCAGGAGAGCTGGGATGAATTATCAGGAAGATTTAGATTTGTGCCTTCTCTTAGCAGCTGCCTGGTGATAAAGTTACGCTGTCAGGGCAAGGGGGAGGACAAGGGGTGGTTAAACTCTCAAAAAACTCATGGAATGGTGGGTAAGTGAACCACTAATGTTTGTTTTCCTCACTTTTCCCTCTTCAGCTATGACAGGGGATCCACATTCAACGTGTTTGTGGGAAAAGGTCAGCTCATTGCTGGGATGGACAAAGCCCTGGTGGGCATGTGCGTGAACGAGCGGCGGTTCGTGAGGATCCCCCCCAAGCTCGCCTACGGGAGCGAGGGCGTCTGTGAGTACAGCAGCAGCCCAGGGCAGAGCTGGCTGGGCAGCTCCTGCAGCAGAGCAGGTAGAAAGTGGAGACACAGAAGAGTAGAAGGGTAGAAATGGCACGTTGTGAGTTTCTGGGAGATTCTGCCCTGCTCGGGGGTGTTTGTTAAGCCTGTGCCTCATGGTTCCAGGCTCTGAAGGAAGAGCTTCTGACTGTAGAGGACCTTCAGCAAATGAACCTTCCTACTGTAGTGAACTTTTTATACCTACTTCGCTGTCACTTATTGTGGTTTGGCATTGCAGTGCTGCTCGTGTCAGTGCCAAAAGCAGCTTTGCCCTGCAGACCCTGAGGCAACAAATGCTGAATCAAGAGCAGTTTGCCTGGTGGACAATATTTGATAACGTTTCATGTTGCCAGATTCTTCCCCTCCTTGTGTAGCTGCACCAGTGACGTGGGGAGAGTGGGATATAAGCACAAAAGGAGCAAGTTGTGCATGGTGGATTTTATTTAGAGAAGGTGTAGATCGGTTCCCTTTTGCCCTGTAGGAGAAGGGAAATAAAACTGGTTGTGTTTTGCTTTTGCAGCTGGTGTGATACCCCCCAATGCTGTGCTCCATTTCGACGTGCTTCTGATTGATCTGTGGAACTCTGAGGATGAAGTGCAGGTTCAGACTTACTTCAAACCTGAGAAGTGTCCTCGCACCGTCCAGGTGTCCGACTTCGTACGGTACCATTACAATGGGACCTTCTTAGATGGGACCCTGTTTGATTCGAGGTATGCAGCTGGGTTGTTTGTTTCTGTGTCTGTTAATAAATATGTGGTGTCACTTTAAACCATCAATTCCTCTCCCTTGGCTGCTGTAACAATTAATGCTGATTGCCCAGGCAGACAAGAAATGAAAGCTAATGTCGTGTGCCATTCTTCATTCAGGGGTTGTGGGACAGCAGTACTGACTCAAACCAGTAGAACCCTACATTATTTCTGTGTGAGCATTACCTGCCCAGATCTTTTCTTTATTAAACTTCATTCCCTGTCTCTCTGTTACTACTCATTGCTGTCAGGTAATAGTTTCTGTAGCCACTGCAGCATGGCTGTTCATCCTAGAGACAAGCTTTAGAAACTAAGCAGAGTTTCTGATGAAATTGTGCTACTGACACTTCCATACTGAGATTTTAAGTTTATAGCATGTGCACTTCATTAAAGTTCTGTGTAAATGATGCTTTAGCATCTGTTGTATGTTTGTGAGCCACTTATCAAAACCTCTGTTAGGTTCCTGAGATGGGTAACTGGGGCAGGGAGGGAGGAATAACCCCATACACCAGTTAGGGACTGACCTGCTGGAAAGTGGCTCCATAGAGAAGGACCTGGGAGCCCTGGTGGGCACCAGGTTAACCATGAGCCAGCAGTGTGCATTTGTGGTCAGGAAGGCAAATAGTCTCCTGGGGAGCATTAAGAGATATGTGACCAGCAGGTCAAGGGAGGTTCTTCTCTCTACTCTACCCTGGTGAGGCCACACCTGGAGTACTGTATCCAGTTCTGGGCTTCCCAGTTCAAAACAGACAAGGAGCTACTGCAGAGAGTCCAGTGGGGGCTACGAAGATGCTGTGGGGACTGGAGCATCTCTGGGACAAGGAAAGGCTGAGAGTTCTGGGGCTGGTTAGCCTGGAGAAGAGAAGACTGAGAGGGGATCTGATCAATGCTGATCAATATCTAAAGGGTGAGTGTCAGGAGGATGGGGTCAGACTCTTGCCAGTGGTGCCCAGTGACAGGACAAGGGGCAAGGGGCACAAACTGGAACCCAGGAGGTCCCATCTCAACATCAGGAAAAACTTTGGTGTGAGGGTGCCAGAGCCTGGAGCAGGCTGCCCAGAGAGGCTGTGGAGTCTCCTGCTCTGCAGAGATTCCAAACCCTCCTGGATGTGACCCTGGGCACCCTGCTGGGGGTGAGCTGCTGGAGCAGGGGGGGTGGACGAGGTGACCTCCAGAGGTCCCTTCCAACCCCACCACGCTGTGATCCTGTGTGAGCACTCTGGGAAGCACCACCCAGCCACCCTGGGTGAATCAAGGAACAACATTTCTGGAGCAGTAAGTTGTGAGTTACACTGTGCACAGCGTGCGGCTTTTAAAGATTCTTATTGTTCGTTCCTGTGGCTGGCTGACACTTGGTTGTGGGGTTGTATTTGTTTTTTTTTCCTTTTTTCCCCATTTTTAGCCACAATCGGATGCGCACGTACGACACCTATGTGGGCATTGGGTGGCTGATTCCTGGCATGGACCAAGGCCTGCTGGGGATGTGTGTGGGGGAGAAGCGCCTCATCACGATTCCACCTTTCCTGGCCTATGGAGAGGAAGGAGATGGTAACAGGCATTCTTTTTTTTTTGTATCTGAGTCATCTGTAGTTTAAAACAAACTTTGTGTATTTTAAATGTATGTGCAGCCTTCTGACCCAATTCAGACAGAGCAAAGAGATGGAGAGAGAGGTTCAAAGTGCATTATGTGCAGGATTGGACTGATTAGAAAAGATTTTTTTAAAATTGCAAGATTTTAAAAAAAATTCAATCAGTACATTGCTTAACAGCCACGTTGTTGATACAATTGTAAACTTTATATACTCAAATTTTATTTCATTCTAATCTCTGCTTAATATCTAGTGGCTCCAAAAACTTGGAAGTGAAGTGACTGCATTATTCTTACAGCTGCCACAGAGAGCAGAAAACTTTTGAGAAAAGTAACATGTATTTTTAATTCTTCTTTTTTTTAAAAAAAAAAATTTGCAACCAATGCACTAGTAAGTACAAGATGGATTAATTGTGCCATGAGACTGTTTGCAGCCTGCAGGTCATACATAGAGGTCCCCTCTGTGTTAAGTGTGGGGGCAGTTAGGTATAATTTAGGACTCTTAATTCTTCAGTTCTTTCTCTGCCCTACTATTTAAGGATTTCATACCCTTCCATGATTTTGTCACCATTAACTGTGAGAGCCTCCATGGACAGCAGAACTTGGTGGAGTTACAGTTTTAAAATTTTGCCAAGATCTTGAGCTCAATGGCTCCCAGTCGGAGCAACCAACACTATAATTTGTGTGTTGATGAAGAGGTACTTTTTCACTGAGATACCCAATTTACCCTTCTTCAGCTTCCATCACGTGATCTCCTGTTTCAATATTGGCAGGATGAGAAGAGCTGATCTACCCAGTTTATATTCTAATGTTATTTGATGCACTTCCATGAAGGGTGTTGGAAGTGCTGCTAGGCTAACCCGTGCAGCTCCAATGGAGTGCTGTCTGTTGACCAAGGTGGGTGCTGCTGAAGAGGCTGTGGTTTCCAGTGAGGCAGTGCCATCACAGTGGGAACACTGTGAGCATTGAGTGACAGACCCACACATGAACCAAAAAATGACTGCCTAGAAGCAGATCACACGGATTTATCCTGGGAGGTGAGGTGGTTGATACTCAGCAGTAGGTTGCTTCTCCTCATCAGATATGTTTTAACTCCTAGAGCACCTGCTATTTCTGACCTGGTTTTTGCTCTAACACTTTTGTAGGTAAGGAGATCCCTGGCCAAGCTTCCCTGGTCTTTGACGTGGTCTTGCTAGATCTCCATAACCCCAAGGATGGTGTTGCTATTGAGAACCAGGAGGTGCCTGAGTCATGTGAGCGGAGGAGCCAGGCGGGAGACTTCCTCCGCTACCACTACAACGGCACACTTCTGGATGGCACCTTGTTTGACTCCAGGTAACCAAACCACTCAGCCTGACACATCCCACCTCCAGTTTGACTCCCCTTTCATGTCCATAATACGTCCAAATAGAGTTCTTTGCTTTTCCTTCTGGTTGGAAATTTTTGAGTGAAGTTGGGAGTCTTGAAAACTGGTGGAAAACCTCTCTGTGTGAGGAGGAAGACAGAGAGCTGTTTTGTGTCATGACAGTATCACAGACGCCATCTAGGGGTGGTGATCCTCCGGGTGAGGCTTTGGACTCGTGCCAGGAGACTCTTTTTGCCCTGTAGAGTTTATCTACCAAATAGGTAATGCTACTGAAGAGAGAAAATAAACACAGTCCACAGGTGACATCCTGAGAACGGTGAGTTTGTGTGCTAATGGACGGTTTGAGGTTCATCTCAAGACAGTCTTTCCATCTGTGCTTGAACACTGGCTTGTGTTTTGAAGGTTAATGACTTTCAAGCCTGGAATCAGCAATGAGGTCTCTGTGGTAAAGGAAGAGGGGTTGCTGTTGTGTCAGATTCAAAGCTCTTTGGGCACATCAGCCTCATGCACAGAATGACATGATGAATAATACTCATACCCTCCTGTCACTTTTATTTGCTCTTTAATGAGCAGTACTTTACCTTCCCACTCCAGCTGTCAGAACAGCTGGCACAAGTAGCTAAAAAGAGTTGAAAATGAGCCACTGTAAAATGTTTCATGAAATTAACTCAGGGAAAAATGTTTAGTACTACTAGGGGTGCTGCAAGCTGAAGATCAGGATCAGTTTGCAAACGTAAGCTGTGTAGAATTGCTTTGTGCTACCTCCCATGAGAAGGAGCCACAGAATTGTGTGTTTTGTATTTGAATTGAGGTGTGGTAAGGTTCAGGATCATCCCTGACCTCCTCATTCAGCTGCCCAGCTTGGTGGGAGGATAGCAGGAGACCTGCATCGACAGTCATCACTGCAGACTTTAACTTACAGCTTAGGAGAACTTTTAAGTTAAGAATTTAAAGCCTATCCACAGTGCACCTGCCCAGAATCTCTCTTTTTTGAGATGTAAATAAATATTGTCTGTAGCAATTAAGTAATTTTTGAAAATGGCTTTATTATTTATATTGGGGTTGTTGGCCAGAAATAGCAATAAATGCTTTGCAGACAGCAGCCTCTACATCACTGTAAAGTGCTGACAGTTGTTAGAGGGATTGTTAGGGCATCATACCCTGGCCTCCTGCAGAATTTACAAGAAAGGCCAATAACTAACAAGTATCTGTGAATAAATAGAGGGGCTAACAGTAGGTATTGAAAGCATTGGAGTTGTCAAGGAAAAAATTCCTCACTAGTACAGGGAGCGTGCCAAAAGCACTGTGAATGGCTGAGGTGGAGAGTTCTAATAATATTTTCTTCCTATTTTTTTTTCCTCTGCAATGTTCAGCTGCAGAACTGCCCTTGGGCAGCTCAGCCAGGGCTGTCTGGACTTAGAGCAGTTGAATAAACCTCTGAATTCCATCAGGGTCTGTACTGGTCTTGCTCTTTCCCACAGTTACCTGGTAAAGTTGAATTGAAACCTTTCTGCCTTCCCTTCCTTGGGCTGTGCTTTCATGTAGCACGCCTGGCAGAAGACAGACACAGCCTTGTAGTAAGCATAGTTTGTTGTCACAGGCTTGTTTTATCCTATTGTCAGGTGTCAAAGCAGATCCTTCAACCTACATGAAAGTGATTGACATAGTTGAGAGTTGTTGAGAGTGAGGTCTCCCCTGAGCCTCCTTTTCCCCAGGCTAAAGAACTCCAGGTCCCTCAGCTGCTCCTCACAAGACTTATGCTCTAGATCCCTCATCAGCTTTGTTGCCCTTCTTTGTACACGCTCTGGCATCTCAATGCTCTAGATCCCTCATCAGCTTTGTTGGCCTTCTTTGTACACGCTCTGGCATCACAGTGTCCTTGTTGAGGGGCCCAAAACTGAACCCAGAACACAAGCTGCAGCCTCACCAGTGCTGAGTACAGGGGGACAATCACTTCCTTACTCCTGTTGGCCACACTTTTGCTGGTACAAGCCAGGATGCTGTTGGCCTTTGTGGCCACCTGGGCACACTGCTGGCTCATCTTCAGGTGGCTGTTGATGAACACCCCCAGGTCTTTTTCTGCCAGGCAGTTTCCAGCCACTCTGCCCCAGGCCTGGAGCATTGCCTGGGGCTGTTGTGACCCAAGTGCAGGATCCAGCACTTGTTGAACCTTATCCCTTGGTCCTCATCCCATTGATCCACCCTGGCCAGACCTCTGTAGAGCCTCCCTCCATGGACACACTTGGTGGGCTAAGCCCGTTGAGCGTGGTGATTGCATTGTGCCTCGAGCTAGTTAGTGACCATGTGCTTGACCTTGACCTTAAGTGGTTTAAGAATTATCTCTCAGACCTGTTGGAAGGTTCTGTGCTTTCTGGAGCCCCTCCAGCCCTGCTGAAATGCAGATTTTTTTCCACAGCTACTCCCGAAATCGCACGTACGACACCTATGTTGGGAAGGGCTACGTGATTGCTGGGATGGATGAAGGTTTGCTGGGTGTGTGCACTGGTGAAAAGAGGCGGATAATAATCCCCCCCCATCTCGGGTATGGAGAAGAAGGGAGAGGTGAGCTTGACTTTTCATTCAGTCTTCCAGAATGAGTGATGGTTTAGTGTGTCTCTGTGTAGTTCTGTATTTTTTTGTCCTTTGATAAGTTTATGAATGAGTTCATTATTTTGTGGCCTCACAACTGACAGGATTACACCTAGAATTTGCAAAATTACTTTAATTAGCTGAATAAGTAGGACAATAAGAATGCAGAACAATCTCACCTGTAATTAGTGACCTGAAAGTATTTGGATAATTAGTGTTTTGGGCTGACTGGTACTTTGGTGCCAGGAGCTCTGCAGTGTGAGATCTTCCTTTCTTCTCTTAACAAGCTCTGTATGCTGATGGAATTCATCCTGTTAAATTTTCTGCCCCGTTCCTTCCCCAGCTGTGGGTTTTGTGGGCTCCTAAGCCACCTCTGGATGGACGTGTCTGTCAGTCCTGGGAGTGCACTGGCACATTATCCTGGGAAGCAGGGGGAGAAGTTCCTTGCTATGAGGACGTTTTAGGGCAGTGTAACCTTTTAGACATAATGGCATTCCCTGAAGCATGAGAAGTCCTGCAAGAATTTTGATGATCAGTGTGGAATTCATCCTGTTAAATTTTCTGCCCAGTTCCTTCCCCAGCTGTGGGTTTTGTGGGCTCCTAAACCACCTCTGGAGGGATGTGTCTGTCAGTCCTGGGAGTGCACTGGCACATTATCCTGGGAAGCAGGGGGAGAAGTTCCTTGCTATGAGGACGTTTTAGGGCAGTGTAACCTTTTAGACATAATGGCATTCCCTGAAGCAAGTCCTGCAAGAATTTTGTTGATCAGTGATGAGTTGGCACATGAAACACTAATCAGTTATTTAGGGTAGTCACAGGAAATACCTACAGGAATTATTGCTTCATTTCTCCATAATTTTCAGTTCAATAAGAATGGAAATTTTTTCCTTCACTGTTGAACTGAATGTTTAGCACTAGTTTTTCCCACGTTGGATGCAGTTTGCATCTGTCACATAGAGAAGAGATGTAATCCTTCAATTCTGACTGAGAAGAGCAAAATGACTCCATGGGACAACACAGTGACACCAGATCCTCCTCCAGGCTGCAGCACCTGCCCATCATAAGCCATCCCAATGCTCCGGGTACCATTTCTTCCTCTACTTGCTCATTTGCTTCCCATTTAGGAAAGATTCCAGGCTCTGCAGTGCTGGTCTTTGACATCCACGTGGTTGACTTCCACAACCCCTCGGATTCGGTGGGCATCACTGTGAACCACAAACCTTCCAACTGCACCGTGCTGAGCAAGAAGGGAGATTACCTCAAGTACCACTACAACGCCTCGCTGCTGGACGGCACGCTGCTGGACTCCACGTGAGTCTGTCACCTCCTGAAGGAACCAGCCCTGGCAGCTGGGGAATCAGGGGGAGTTCTTTCTTCTTGCCCCCTGCAAAGCGGGCTGGCAGGGAAGAAAGAATTTTTAAGTAAAAAATGGAGTGTTTCTGTAGGATATATTTTTCTTTTTACATCTGCCTGCCTGAGGTGTAGAGGAGGAGGTAAAGAAAGACAGTCTGTCCTGGAGTAATGAGAGAACTGGGAACAAAGAGGATGTAGGAGAGTGTTGGAGAACATAAACACTACAGCTGGAGTGGTGAAACGGGTTGTCTGCGTGGCAGCCTGGTTTAAATGGGTGCTTCAGGTGTCTGGGCTGGCCATACCAGAGTGACACAGGGCTCAGCATGAATGAGCTGTCCAAGTTGGTTCCATTTTTTGGGTAGGATTTGTGCTCTGTGCTGATGGAGTGCTCCCCAGAGAGGTCTGGCAGGGCTGCTTGGTGTAGTCTCGTTAAAGCTGTCTCGAGTGTGGTTTGTAGTAACTGGTCACCCACACAGGTGTAGTTTTCCTGTAGTGTGGTGTTGTGGTAAGTGTCAGCATTGGGAAGGGCTTCATCATGACTGTGATGACAATGTTCCTCTTCCTCCTTCCTGTTGACAGTAGGTTGATGAGGGAAGCAAGAGATTGCTCCAGTCTATCTCATGGAGAACTAAAGTGAGCCCATGCTGCTGTTGCTACAAGGATGCTTCTGCTAGCTTATTTTCTGCTTTCATTTTTGGATAGCAGAAGTCATCTAAATAATATTTTATTTTCAGAAGGGAAACTGGGAAAAGCTGTTTTTGCCTGGGTCATAATTAACACAGGAAGCAGCTCATGGTTTTCAGTGTCCACAGCAGCCTGCAGAGCTGCAGAGCAGGTGGAGGTTGAAGCTCAGGGTGTGCTGCTGTGGGGAAGTGCTGTGTTTGGATCCAAAACACCTCTCCATGGCAGGGACACTCAATTCCCTTCCTGCAGCAGGAACCGAGGGGTGTCCAGACTGTCTTACCCAAAACAGTTGACAGAGAATCAAAGACCATGAATTGTGTGCTCCTAATTTTAAGGCTGACCTCCTGGCCACTGAGTTGTTTTCTTTGCAGATAACACTGCTGTACAAACACGTCCTGCAGTGGTACAGCCAAGCCAAGTAACCAAAGAAAGGAGAGCTACAGAAGAAAGGCTCCTGCTGCTGTGGCACATACTGAGTGACAGCCCCTAACACTGCACCCTTTGCTTTTAAAATCACAAAATGTGCTTTAACTTCAGGGGGTTTTAATTTGTGATAATTCCTAATTTTATAAGCGGGCTGCCAGCAGCAAGGTATAATCCAGAATATAATGTGGCTGAAGAGCAGCAGTAGCAGAATACTTCCAAGCTGTCATGTTAAGTGAGTGCCACACTGCAGTGAGTCCATTAGAGGGGTGCCTGAGCCACAGGAATGCACCCACATCCTTACAGGGTGGTGGCTGTGGGACAAATGTACGTCTGCATCCTTACATCTGCTACAGAGTCCAACTTCATTAGGGAAAAAATACGTGAAAGGCAAAAGCCCTTATTCTGAGATAAAATACTTTGGGGTTTGACAGGATGAATGATTTTATGTGGATTTCATTGGAGTAGCCTGTAGTTTTAGTGCCAGGTGGCTTGTCAGCAGCAGGGACGCTCCTGTTTGGTGTTGGCTGTGAGTCACCTTGAGATGAGCTCCAGGGAGCTGCTTGGTAGAACAGAGCATTGGGCATGGAGTTAATTTTTGGCAGTGACAGGGTAGTCACTAGAAGCTGCTATTTCTGTGGTAAACTTGAACAACAGAAATTGAAATACACTCATTGTTCGTTGAGTTTCTATTTATTTATTTATTTTTATTTCTTTCCTCTCTAGACACAGCCTTGGCAAGACCTACAACATAGTCCTGGGCTCTGGGCAGGTGGTGGTGGGGATGGACATGGGCCTTCAGGACATGTGTGTCGGGGAGCGACGGACGGTCGTGATTCCACCTCACCTCGGTTATGGAGAAGAAGGAGTTGGTGAGTGAGCAAAAGCTACTGCACACCCACTGAGCATCTCCTGGGTAACTGAGACACAGCCATGCACGTGTTGTTACCTGCTGTGCACTAGGTGACTGTCTCTTAGGTGCTTCGATGGGATATTTTAGGGTTTTTGTCACATAGCCAGCACCCATTCCCCAGTGAGATGAAGGTGCTGTCTGTGCTGTGCTGTAAGCCATGCTGTGGCTTTTTACCCATAAAAAGACCATTCCAGTAGAGAAGGGAACACCCCCCAGCAATGCTGCTGTGTCAGAGGGGAAAGCTCCAGGCACTCTGGTGTTGCAGAGGGATGCAAACACTGTTCTCTGTGGTGGGGAGCTGGGGCCTCGCCCCATGTTATTCAGGGACACAGACCTGCAGGGGGCTGTTCAGCACTCACCTCTTAAAATATTCAAAGAAAACTCAAAATTCAGAAACAACTTACTGCATGTGAGGTGCAGAGCAGCGTGTCGGTGCTGTTGGAACCCAACACTGATACATTTAAGGCAGTTTGCTCTGTCAGAGCATTGAGGCTTGCCAGTTTTTAATGACAGGGACAGCAATAATAAAAAAAAATACAGAAGTGACAGGAACTTTCCTATCCCAGTATGTGGCTGTTACTGGTCTTGCAAAAGACTCAAGGGGAAGGAGACTATCAGGGGATCACCAGGATCAGCAAACTCTGACATGTATGGAAACAGCTGCCTAAGTTGCTGTGTTCTTTGAATAGCTCCAGAACAATTTGTGTTTATAAAGACTGTCAAGTATCACGTGCCAAGCTTAATGGAGAATTAATTTGTGATGAGAAGTAAAGCAGCATTTTCAATACTACCTGTCTTCCATGAAAAATTAGGAGTATTATACAGATAGGCAACATTTTATAGGATAAAATTGCAGTTATATATAATACATTGAAAATTTCCTCATAACATAAAAAGGCTCACAGGTATTTGCCAACATTCAAACTGCTTTGGATGTACCTGGTCTGAAATGTTCCTTGTTGTTAGTGTTTTGGGATTCACCCAGATACCTGAGCAGATGGCCTGTTTGCTGCTGGACAGAACTCAGAGGTGACCTAGATTTTCTTTTTCAAGGATAAATTAAACTCCTTCCCTGGTTTAATTGAGGCAACATCTCAAGCTGTTGCAATGCTGCTGAGTCTGTCAGTAGCCCCTTGACACACAGTGCAGTGGTGAGATAAAGGGGAATGGATTAATTCCTGCAGTTTGACCTTGATAAATAAAATTGGATGCACTTTGGTTATGAAAGCTTCCTTTATATTTCAATCACCTCTGCTGAAGTGAACAGGAAGATTTGGTGGGTTGGGGGGTCAGAGGAAAGAAGCACCTGCTGGAGCAGGAAGAGAAAGTGAATAATGGATTGAAAGGGAACATACCCTTGGGTGCAGGAGAGGATAAACACCCTTCCCTGCCCTTTGTTGTGACAGAGGGGGAAGTCCCTGGAAGTGCTGTGCTAGTGTTCGACATCGAGCTGCTGGAGCTGGTGTCTGGCCTGCCTGAAGGGTACATGTTCGTGTGGAACGGGGAGGTCTCTCCCAACCTTTTTGAAGAAATAGACCAGAATCATGATGGAGAGGTTCTTCTGGAGGAGGTAAGCTGGAACAGTGGAATGGCTTGCAGTGGTTTGCTGCTGCTGCTTTCATCAGGGTGTTTTCTCCTGCCACCATCAATGCAGGTGTTGATGGATGGGGTCTCCCCTCCTCTTCTTCTGACGTGGTGTTGGGTGTCAAATTAACAGGAAGACAGGTTGTCAGTTAAAACATGGCTGTTTAGCTTTAGAGAGAGAACCAAAAAGAAAAAGAAATAGAGGAGTGGTCACACTTCACACTACTTAAGATTATTTACTGCTGTGGTCTCCTTGGTCCACAACAGATGCTCAGGGCACAAGTGCAAGAGGCATTTAGTGATCAGTGACCCTTGGCTGTATCAGCCTTCTCAGTGTCTGTTCTTTGGAAGTTTGTGGTGAATTCCTGAGCCAAAGCTGAGCCTGGAGCAGTGCATCCAGACACTGATCACTTGTGGAGCCTGGCCGTGCCCGTGGCTGCTCCTTCCCCAGGGGACGCTGTCAGATCACCTTTGTCTTGTCATGGGTCCAGGACACACTGGAATAAGTGAGGGAATCCCTGTGGAGCTCCACAAAGAGTGATTTAACCTCACGTGTCTGTCCTAATTAGTCCCATGCAGTTGTAAGCTCTGTAGGATAGTAACAGCAAACTTGTACACACACTTAATAAGCAGCGAAGTGCTGAGCAGTCTACAACAGACAAATGCTACTTCTGTGAGTACTCTTGGGTCTCAATGCCCATTTCATTGTGAGCTGCTTTCTCCTCCTGTCCCTCCACAGTTTTCAGAGTACATTCAAGCTCAGGTTGATTCTGGCAAAGGAAAACTGGCTCCCGGGTTTGATTTTGAAATGATTGTTAAAAATATGTTCACCAATCAAGACCGGGATGGAAATGGCAAAGTTACTGCTGAAGAATTCAAGCTGAAAGACCAGGAGGCCAAAGAGGAACACGACGAGCTGTGAAGAGAAGGAAAAAGAGGAGTCCTGAGCTGACCTGCTGCTGGAACCCGTGTACTGGAAGGGGCTTTGGTACACGTGTTTCTGAGGGGTCAGCACTCGGAGGGACAGCCCGGTGTCTGCCTGTGCCTATGTGCTGGGAAGCTCCAAAACCAGGAGAGATTTTCAGCTGAAATTGTTAGGTTTAATTGAACCAAGTGTTAAGTGCCTCAAGCTAGGATGTATAAACGGATAAAACGTGTACTGCCATGCCTGGTGTCATGAACAACGTGGTCTGGTTTCATGCTAAAGATCAGAAATTCTCGTTGAACTCGGATGGGTGGATGGGTGGATGGGTGGATGGATGGTAGGGAGAAAACTCACCAAGTGCTTTTTAAAAGTGTTTTAAAAAAACCTTCTGTATCCAAAATATTTGTGCAGGAGAATGAACCAGAAGATATTCCCCATGCAAATAACCTGTAAAAACTGCCAGCTGCCTGGTTCCTTTCAGAGGGTGCAGGCACTCTTCCCAGGAACTGAACAAACTCGTGGGAATATTTGCCAGCAGGAGCTGCAGCAAGCTGCAGAACATGCAGGTGACAGTTGTGCCATCACAAAATTCCCATGAGCTGTGAGTTGACTTAAACAGGCCTAGAATTGTAACTGTGTCTGTGGTGGGTTTTCACCTTACAAAGCAGATTTCTGCTCTCTGTGTTGTACTCACCTCCTGCTGGCCATCAGTGACTCCTGAACCTTTCTAGTTGCAACCATATTTATAGTTCTGTTATAAATATTAGTCTTATGGGGTCCAAATGCTGGGTGTGACTGATGTAGTGCCGGGCTCGTGTCTCCTGTTTTGGGGATTGTTAGGGTGAGGAGTAAGTTCTTGGCAGAGCAGCTCGGCCTGGCCAACAGACAGGCAGTGATGGACTCAAGGAACAGCCCTGTCTGCCTGTGCCTGCAGACACTGCCTGCCCCTCGGGGCACAACCAGCAAACTCTCCAGGCAACCACCCTTTAGCTCTAAAAATGCAACAACCTGTTTAATAGAAAATACACCAGACTGTTTTTCTGGAAGCCTATGTGATCCCCCTGGTTACACTACCTGCAGAGAGCACGGATACACAGAGTAAGACACAGTCCCAGGCAGGCAGAGAGGGAGCTGTGTTTCCATTTTATGCTTTTCTCTAGTCTCTTGCTTCTCCCCATCTGCACACGTGGGTTCTGAGCTCCCTGAGATGCTCTTTTTAAGTTGGATGAGAACTTTTCACGTTGGTTTTTAACACAGTTGTTCTAGAAGGTGCAGCAAAATATTTTTTTGGAATTTGATACCATTCTTTTTTGTTAAATAAAGAGTTGATCAACTATTGCTGTGAAGGTTTTTCTTCTGGCGTTTTGGTTTGTTGGGAGGTAAATATTGGTCCTTTATACCAGATGTAAATATTGTGGATACCAGTGAATGGCATTTGCAGTCCAAAGGTAAATAACCCGAATGGTTCCTTGGAGACATTACCATCTTGTGACAACAGCTTTCTGCACAAAACTCTCCCCTTTCCCAAATTTTGGAGGTGGGTTGCTTGCTTTTTGCTGTGGTTCAGGTGCATTGTTTCTGCACGCTTACAGAGCTCAGATAGGAGCAGGAAGCAAGTTGGGATCTGTGGAAACAACTTACCCTGTTCTCACGACATGGGCTCCCAAAACTCAAGTCTGACTTCCAGATATCCAGAATTGTTCTCTCTGTCAAATCCTTAGTGACTAGCTCTTCCAGCTGGTTCCCAGGAGGTGCTCTGCAGAGTTCCTAGTAAGCCAGGAGAGAAGAGTGCTCCTCCAGGGCAGCTGCAGGACAGAGAGCAGCGCCGTGCACCCAAGTGCAGTCATTGGTAATCCTGAAGGTCACTGAGAAGTGCACACCAGGGGTGGGGCAGCGGATGGGACTTCCCCAGTGCCCCCAGCTGGGGCAAGTACCCCTGAAGTCCTCACTGTGTTGCTCCATCAGCCTTAGCAAGCACCGTTTGTGCTCCATCTAAATGATGTCTTTCTGTCAGGAGGAAGGTTTTGTTGCCTCCTCACCTCTTCCCCCCAAGTCTGGAGGCTGCCATTTTGGAAATGAAAACACAGCTTTGGGGGAAAGCAGAGAATAAATGGAGAAACTTGATGCAAATTAGTGGTACTTGTACAGGGCATTTACTTGCCCAGGCAAAGGCAACAGAACTACAACAAATAGGGGCTAAACTGTGTGAAATGGAGCATTTTTGACAGCTAACTTAGACCTTGTCAGTTCTTTTCCACTGGCAGCTGTTGGCTCCTCCCTCCAAGGAAGGCTATTTAGAGTATCTATTTGGGTACTTTCTTACATGCTTAACTGAGAGACCTCACTCAGAAGAACAGAAGATAACCCCTGAAGGGCTGTTGCTAGCCAGGTGAAGTGGATGGTTCAGCTCAGGAGGGACTCCAGCAGTCAGGAGACTCCAGGTGCCAGTCCCAGAGCTGGGCAGCTGACTCCCATTAGCAGCCGTTGCTGAAGGGAAGCTGCCCACAGCCAAGGTGGGTGGTCACCTATGGGACTGTCAGAGCTTCAGGGGAGGAGACAAGGTGGTGTGTGCCCAGAAAAATCCAGGTATTTATCCATATTTTTGTGGTTCTTCTGTCCTAATTTGACAGTGAAACTTTCTGCTCTGTAACTCTGCCTGTTCCAAGTATGTTCAGAAATTATACCAGTTTGCAGCTGTTGAACTCAAATATTGGTTTTTGGTTTTTGTTTTCTGTGTGAAAAAATATTTCCCTTTAAGCTGAAATATGGCATATTTAACTAGCCCTTGGTGCAGGTTTTTGGCTTAGTTCAGGACTGTTAGATTGTGTTTGACAGCAAGAGGACATTTGAGCTGCCTGTAACACCCTCTCCAAGGAGGAAACATTTTTAGCTAAATAAAGGTCCCAAATACTTAACCGTGGACATGTGTTACATGTTATGCTATATTGTGAGTAGGGTGAGGGAAAAAGGTTACAAATTCATTTACCTTTGCTGCTTAGTCCTTGCTTTAAACTTCAGGTACTCTTCTGGGTATGGAAAAATGGTCTGGGAAATGCATGATATCTTCCTTTCCATACTGAATCATAAATGAAATACACTTTTAGGGTTGAAAAATGTTTCTGGTTAGAAAATTGATTTAGAGAGATATATTGTGAGTTGTTTCTTTTGCCTCAAACTGAATGCAGGATCTGGATAGCTGGAGAAGGGTGGTTTAACCTGTAGCTGCAGTGTTAATAGTGTTTGCAGTTTGTTTTGTTCATGGTTCTGAGAGTATCAGTTTTGATAATATGAATTCTTGCTTCTAGACAATGAACTAGCAATAAAAAGATGGGGTTTTGAAAAAGTGGAGGATATCTAAAAGGGTTTTAAGTGCCCATGTAGTTGGGAAACCATCAAGTGGCCAGTTCTGATAGGCTTGGGCTCCAGGCAGGCTAAGCACTGACTTCAGTAATGTGGACTAAGGTGCAGCTGGAGACTACATGTTTCTGTCTGCCAGGATGTTCTGGTAACTGCTTTTAAACATGCTGCCTATTCCTTTTCCATGTTGCTCTGCATGTGCTCTTCTATGTGGTTTTGACTGATTTTTGTTTATTTTTAATTTTTCTTCAGCTGGGGGTGGGTTGAACAGTGAGGCCCTGGTGGTGCTGAAGCAGAGATGGCTTGGTTCCTGCAGGGCTGGGCGAGGTGAGGGAGGATCAGAGTGTGAAATCCTGAGCAAGTCAGATGGGAACACGGGGTGATCCTGCCTCTCAGAAACACTGCCCAGGGAGAGCAGAGCTGCTCCCAGAGTTGTTGTTCTGGTGCCAGGGAGATCCAGTGTGCTCGTAGCCATGACAATCTTGTGGCAGAAAGCATGTTGCTGGCCTGGCTTGCCCCGTGGAGCTGTGGTTATCAGCCACTTTTCACATACTCTAAATTTTAACTGTTATCTGGGTTCCAAAGGTAACCCTCCTGTAAACGGAAAATCTTGTCCCAGGGTAAACTTTGGGAGCAGTGCCTGGGAATTAGCCCCTTGCAGCTGGAGACTGGCTGAGTAAGCAGTGCATCCAAACACCTTGGTGTTTTTCACAAGTCCTTTGCCTTTTGGACTTTCCTTTGGCAGCTGTGACAAAGAGCCAGTGTGATTCCTTGTTTAAAAAGCTCCAGATCCAAGAAGCACCAACACTACTCTCTAAACCCTTGACATTAGCTCGAGCAAGGTAAATTCTGTAGGTTCCTAAACCCCAAAATGTGGACTGTTAATCAAGGCTGCCCTGTCCCTGGCTGCCCCAAGGGGACCTGCTGCACCCCAAGGGAACTGCTGCCCTTACCTGTGACTCCTTCCACGCCAGGCTGCAGGCCACGAGCCTCTCTCCTGCTGGGTGTGGGAGCCTCTCTCCTGCTGGGCATGGGTGACAGGCTGAAGAGCAGCTCTCCTGAGGCGGCTGTCCCTGCCCTGGAGCTCTGGAGCTCTCGTGGCTCGTGCTGCTGGGCTCTTGCTGGCCAGGCTGAGGCAGCTGCTGCTCCTGGCACCCCCAGGGCACCCTCAGCTCTCCCTGCTCTGCAAACGAGCATGGCCGAGTCGCCTCTGCCGGGTCCTCCCGTGGCTTGAGGGGTTTTCTGCTCCAAGGGTGGCTTCTGGGGTGCTCGCCTCTGGGGATCAAGCTGCCCCTGTGGAGGGACAGGAGCAGGGAGTACAGGGCTGTGGATTGTATGCAAGGAGAACATCAGTCAGTCTTTGCCTGCTGAGGTGCAGGCTGGAACTTCTGAAGGGTCCCAGAGGAGAGCTCCCTGCCAGCAGGGCACGGGCAGCTGATGAGGAGAGGCTGCTCACACCCCCTCAGGCTGCACACAGCCTCTGCCAGGCCACCAAAACACGGGGTGACGTGACTCCAGTCCACTGCACAGCGGGGTAGAGAACCTGCCCCCATCTTGCTGCCTTGGGGAAGTTCCAGCAGGTGTGGTAACAGATGTAAGGCTGCTGATTTGGGGGAAAACACGACCGCTGCTGTGAGCCA